GTTACTATTATTGTTAATAGTATTTATTTTCTTTTTTTCTTACTAGAATATAAATTTCAGGTTTTGTCTATTTTGCCTATCACTTATTCTCAAGATGGAGTAGAGTAAGGTCCTCAATAAGTATTTGAATGCTTGGATGAAATATTTAACCATTTATTTGTCTTGAAAGACTTCTTTTCTTTTACCAGTTCTTTAAACAAAAACATTTCCTCAGACTCATTTTTTGTTTGTTTGTTTGTTTTTGTCTGATTTGGTTTAGTTTCTTTCTCTTTTTTTCTTTTTGCATTTTCCCTATACTCTCATTCCTTAAAAGTGTTTAACTTGAAGTGTTTTACTGGTTTCATCCATAGTCTCTGTGATGAGGGTTCCCACCATTATACCTTTAGTCACAACCAATACCCAAACTCTGCACTGGAAAGACACCACTAAGAAGGTGACCTGGGAGTCAGAACATCTAGGCTCTTCTGTGAGTCCTGTAATTTTGCAAATCACAACCTTTCTGGAGACTATATTCTCTTTTTCATGTTTTGATTGTTTTTATGCCAAGGATCAAACCCAGAGCTTTGCACATGCTAAACATGCACTCAACCACTGAGATATACTCCCAGCCCTGTTTTCATGTAGGTAATAATTATTAATCGCTGTATTCCATCTCATAGAAATATGCATATAAACAAAGAGTTAATAGATGAGTGTTTTATGAATTATAAAACTGTGTGTTATTTTGAGGTAATACCAAATATAGTAGATATACTATTTATATTATGCCCAGCTGTTATCTTAGATTCAACATGTTTAAACTAGACTAATTTTCTTCTTTTCTGAACTGAATTATTTCCAACTTTGCTTTATTCCCACCTCCAAACAATATATATATTCAATTATCCCACTGTGATGTGTCAAACTTGGCCTCCTACTCTCTGTTCTCTCAAACAAAATTCCAATCTTAGCCTTCCTCAATATACATCTCGACTATTTACAGCATTCCATTGACTGGCTTCTCTGTCTCCAATCTTTTTCTCTCAGTCTTCCTGAATAATCTCTGCAATCTTCCCAAAACACTAACTGTAGTAGATTCCTAGTATTGCTATAACAAATCTCCATTTATTCACTAACTTAAAACAACAGAATTTACTACCTTATAGATCAAAAGTTCAACATCATCTTCATTGGACTAAAATCACAGTGTTGGTACTTCATAAAAATCCAGTAATCAGCTGGGCTCCCTTCTTTTCTGGAGGCCATAAAGGAGAATCTTTGGCCTCACCTCTTTCGCCTTCCATAGATTACCAATATTTCTTGGTTTGTGGCTCCTTTCCTTCATCAGAAAGTGGGTCAAGTGCTTCTCATGTCATATCTGACTCTAGCCATGAATGACCCCCAATTTTAAAGCACTCCTATGGTTAGAGTGGGCCTATATGCCTACCTGGCTAACCTAGAAACCTCCAATCTCTAGGTCATAACCTCGCTCTCATCTGTAACATCCCTTTGCTATGTGAGGTAAATACTCACAGGTTTCAGGGATTCCAACAAGATCTTTTTAGGGGAGGGATGTAGGAGTTCTGCCTATCACACCAATTTATAGTGTTATGTCTCTGATCATGAGTTTCAAATGATTCCCTATTACTTATTAATATCAAGCTTATCTCCTCAGCATGACTTTGAAAGTCCTTCAAGTGAAATCCTTAACTATTCTCAAACTTATATCCTCTGCTACTATAAGGATGGTCTGCTTTGTTGCTATATGGTCTGCTGATATTAATTCTATTATTTTGTTAGCGTACTTGCTAATTATTTGAAATGTCCTACTATCTCTTCTTTGCTTATCAAAGTACTGTTAACTTTACAAATTCCAGTTTAAGTATTGCCTTCCAATAAAACCTTCTCTGTTGATATCACTTGACTCTAAGTTATTTGGCCTGGTACTCTCCTGTATACAGGGTGGACCTCTGTCATTCATCTGTTCAAAAATCATTCATTCTTCTCTGGAAATACACAGTGCTTTTCCTTTGGAGTACAACTGTTGTTGTTGTTGTTATTTTCCATTAGATAAAATTTGGTGCTTTTCTCAATTAAAATGCCCTCCCTTAGCCAAGGGGTAAGTCCACATTCAGAGCTAGGCAATGATATGTGGCTATCCTAGAGCATAAGTACCCCCAAAATAAAAATGGTTGGAGTTCACCATTTTTAAAAGCAGTAAAGCAGTTCATTAGAATAGCCCTGTTCTTTGGCTTTTACTTTAATTATATGGAATCTCATATTTGTCCTATAAAATTCTTCTTGATTAAGGGTTAGAATATCAAGATTTTCAAAAGACAAAATTACAGGTACTGAATTCAAATTGACCAATTCATGAATATATTTCTCCTCAAATGGTCACAAAACAAAACATAAAACATAAATCCAGAACACTGCGGTATTACAGGTCCATGGTTAAGGATGAAGTATATTGAACAAGATCTAGCAAGAGACTCAGAAGTGAGTATAAAACCAGGTGAGTGTAATAGCCTCTAAGCCAAAAGAAAAAAGTTTCTACTTCCTTTCCTTTGCTCTCCAAGTTCTCAGACTTTGCACCCAATCAGTCTGTTGGTTCTGTAAGATCCCATTAATTCTAATTAATAAGAATTCCTGGTTTTCCCAAGGAAATTTTAAGCTAAATTTGAGACTAACTCCTCACAATGTTTTGCAGCCCCTAACCTGGTCAGAATTTCAGGGGAATTGGAGGTCCTAAGACTTCATTTCTCCTAACAGCTCATTGCTATTAGTTACTTAACTTCTCTGTGGAATGATCATAGTCCTGACTCCCACCTCTCCCTGCAGACTAATGAAGAACCCAAGGAGCTAAGAAATGGATAAAGTACTTTCTGGGCAGGGATAGGGATGTAGCTCAGTGGTAGAGTATACTCTTAGGATGCACAAGACTCTGAGTTCCATGCTAAACAACACACACACACACACACACACACACACACACACAACTCTACAGGTTATTGAAGCAGTATATCAAGGAAGCTAACACTATCATGATGCCTCCATGCATCACAGGGAACACATGTTTTCTTTGAAAGCGTACGCCAAGTTTCTTAGCATAAGCTGAGGGAATCATGTGGCCTAATTCTAGCTAATATGTACCTTAAAAAGCTACATCTTAGTAGAATATTATTCTTTTCAAAAGTACTCTTTTAATATATTATTTAAAATATTCTTTGTAAAATATATTCTTGTAAAATAATTTTATAATTAATGTGTCTCACTTTTTTTGCAAATTCAGAGCATTATGTCTTTATATGAACACACATTATAATTCTGTCACTACTTTTAAGCCCCTTAATAAATTGTGGGGAAAAATAGCAAAAGAAAAATAAAATAGAAGAAAGAGACCATACTGAAAGTGCAGATGTTTTATTGATGGTGCTTAATGCACATTTATTTCTCAATTGTGTTTTTGTTTACCAGTTCCCAAAACAAATAAATAAAAATTAACAATATCTTGTAAATTACCTATATTCTCCTTCAATGTCTTAAGGTACACAATTATCAAAGCTGATACTGAACACAAACAAATTGATACAATTCAGTATTCTGATAAAATTTATGGTCATCAAATAAGTTACTTTAAAATATATATAGTACAAGTTTATGTTCCATAGCATCTTTAATAGAAACTGTATACCAAAATGGCTCTTCAAACTTAAAAAGTGCAATTACAGAGTGCAAAAAAGGCAAAAAGAAAAATACAGTATATTAGATTTAACATCATTTTGTTAAAATAGCAGATATATTTTAGACATCATTATTATGTTAAAACTTTAAAAGTTATTCCAGAAACACTGTTTATGCTCCCATTTCTCTCAAAAGAATAGAAAAAGTCTGAAAATGTTTGCCAGCAAATCAAGCATTTTGTTTTCAAAATTCTACAAAATAAAACTGTAGCAAAAATTACCAACATGAGTCAGAGAGATTTTAAATCTACTATTAAATATAAATTAAACACATGTATTTGCTGAATAAAAATTGATTTGATTCTCAGTCACAATTAAATTTAGCTAGCTTTCCATTCGAGGACTCAAAAATAAAAATTTGAGTTTGGACAAAGTCATACCAGTATATCATTTTTTCCCACTGCTTTGACTTTTGACAGAGGAATGAAGGAAAAACAATGTATAGGAGAACAGTAAAATTGTATTGGATTATAGATGTTCAAATAGTACAATAATCTCAACTTTAAGGTTAAACTTTAGTACCAATCACAGAATTTAACATCCTGGTTACAGCGTATATCTTCTGGGTTTTTGGGTGGTCTTGGTGGGAAATAATAAATTATGCATTTTTGCTTCAGGGATTGCTTAGGTTCTCAGTACATATATGTATATGTGTATACATATACAGCGTAAGCGGAGGGAATCATGTGACTAATTTTATACATATTTTATACATATATACATATATACATATACACATATATATAAAATATATATATTTATATTATATATCCACATATATATGTGTGTGTGTGTGTATGTGTGTAGCTTCTTTGAGACATAGATAGAGAAATCTGTAAAATGAAGATGATAACTAAGAGTGAGCCAAATACTTTTCATTTCCTGTAGGAAACATGAACTGAGAGCAAAAGTCTTTTCTTTTATGTCTATTCAGCATTATCCTCACAAAGCAACCACTTTTTACTAATTTTCATCCACAAAATGCAATCTGATTTATATATTTTCCTTATTTAATATGAAAATTTAACTCTTTTAGGGGTTAGTTTGTTAGTTTGTTTGCAGTACTGGGGATCAAACTCAGGGCCTTGCACATACTAGGCAAGTGCTATGTCACTGAGTTACACATCCAACCCTATGGGGCTGGTTTTTAAGCATTTTAGTAAAGATAAAAATATCCTAAACTAGCCGGGCATGGTGGCACATGCCTGTAAACCCAGCAGCTCAGGGGCGGGGGCTAAGGCAGGAGGATTGTGAGTTCAAAGTCAGCCTCAGCAAAAGCAAGGCACTAAGCAACTCAGTGAGAGTCTGTCTCTAAATAAAATACAAAATAGGGCTGGGATGTGGCTCAGTGGCCGAGTGCCCCTGAGTTCACTCCCCAGTACCCCCCCCCCAAAAAAAATCCAAAACTACTTGCACCATGTTATATAATATGCATTGAGATGCTGAAGACAGACTAATATATCAATGCTGAGACGTTGTCAATGAAACTTTTGTTAATGAAATAGATTGTAGTTGAGTTCTTAGTAGATACGTTTTCTTTAAAACAGACAAGATCACTGAAAATAGGCAAACTTGCATTACATTCAGTAGGTGTCAATTTAAAATGTGCCCTTATGTAACACATTTGATTTCAGCTATAGTAAACATGAAATAAATATACTTTTAAGTCTCACTGATTTCTATTTTCCTTTTATCTTGCTTTTAAGTTTCACACATTAGTTAATAGAGCAACAAATGACTATGATTCAATAGTCAATACAGCTCATGTGTACTTAAGTGTTTGTATGCAAATATGTTTATGTATAGATTTTCGTTTCTTTTGTTTGCTTGTTTCCCTGCCAGGCCAGGACTATACATGAGAGCCATGTGAACACGTCAGGGTATATAATACATGGCTCCATCTGGAGGCAAGTCCTGGCATCTGGTACTCCAGAGGTGACTTGTCTGGTGATATCTTTGTTGCCCTAGTACATGCCAGGAAAAAATGTGGAGGAAGAAGATCCTCCCTGACCTGGTATGTGATCCAGAGATGAGAACAAAAAATTTAGCATTCAGAGAGGTAGACTCCCATGAAAGCCAAAGGTGGTGACAGCCCTGACTTCTATGCAATTGCTCAAAATACCCTGAGCTCACTGAGATCTCAGAATGCAGAAGAAATCTCAGTTTCTTCCAGAAAATAAATAGATAACAGGGGGTAAAGTGTGTAAGGGGTACTTTCATCTCAGCCTCCATAAGAAGGTGTAGTTAAGTCCCCACATTTTAAAAGCTTTCCAATAGAGTTTTTCATTTGGAAAAATACACTATAGTTTATTTTCTCTTATTATTTTCCACTGCCTATATGAAGATATTTTTAAATATGTAACTTTAAGTTTTAGAAGAAGCTACTTAAACTGTAAGTGAAACTATCTTGAGTAGAAATACCTGTATGTCCATTTTTAGATAACATAGAACTACTGTTCTATTTTAAAATAATAATTAGCTTATCACATTTTGGACTCTGATTTACTATTACAATTCTTCAACAAATCTCTTATGAAAATTAATACCTAAAAAGAAGCACAATTTTGGCTTCAAGAATGTATTTTTTTTCTAATTGTCTCATGAGAAACAATTATCTCACATAAAACACATAACATAAACGATGTGTTGTACAAAAGTAGAATAGTGTGAAGCTATGGAATACCCACTATTGACATGAAAGATGACAAACTCTTCCATTCACTTTACTTGAAGAGGATCTGGCAGGTGGCTGACAATTTTCTGTAGTTGTAGGTTGGCACAGGGGATGGTCCATTGACCCTCCAAGCAAGTGAGTTTCAAGCTAGCCAATATAGGAATGTAGAGGCCATTCTTCCTGAACTCAGTTTATTTCAAATATGCAGTGTTTAGCATATGACCTGTATTTGTTTTCCCAAATCCCAATTGTATTACATGAAACAGTGGCACCAACCAATGCATCTAACCATAACATAGTCAAGTCAATTATCACTGATTTGAGCAGTAGAAAAGAATCTACTTATAAGATTGATTTGACTATATATTTAGGTTTACAGAAATATGTCACAAGCTGACACTTCCTGAACAATGAATTAGGCATTGCTCATTCCTAGGCCCTGTGCAGCAGGCATATAAGCTTTGAAGCTTTCAATAAAGCATTTAGCTCAGGAAATTATTTCTTACAAAAATATCACTTTTCTTTTGTATTAAATATTTTTACACATAATATATCAGTAAATAGTTTGTCAAAAATAAAACAAAAATAAAAACATTTTTGAGTATATTAAAAATACACAGTTGTTGACCTAACACACAACCCAACATAAATATTATTAATAAAATAGGAATATTAACATTGACTAGGAATGCAGTGCATCCCTGCGCTGTTCAGACTTGAGATAATGCTGGATCCCCTGAGGTCACTCTCTCATATTCCTTCTTTGAGTTTTTGCTTTTGTGGTTTTTGTACCTGGAAATATTAAGAAATTAAACTGTTAGCATTATACTCAATAGTTACAAGAAAAAAGCAAGGTAACAAAAAAAAATATGGACTCCAAAGGCATGTTAGCATAGTGTATTCAAAATGGCGGAAGTGCCTGGGTTTAGGTTGGACAAGATGACAAAAGGAAGAAGGAAGGGAGTAGTGTTCTTTAGTCAAAAGAAATTTGGAAGGAAATAGTGGAAGGACTTCTCAAAGGTCTTAACATGATCATGAATTCTGTGAAATTTACTGAAGAGAATCCATTTCTCTCTTCCCCCTTCCATTCTCTTCCCTTCTCTTTCTTTTTTCCCTCTCTCTCTTAATAGCTCTTCATTCTGTGATGATAACTAATTAGGAAGGCATTATTATTTGATGGATTCTTTGAATCAAATATGGACAAAATAAATTTAACCTTAAAAAAATAGCACACTTTTAACCTTCACTACGGAAAGATTTGTAAAATGAAATTAAAAAATTTACTGAGCAGTTTGTACCGGTTTCAAAATAAGGAGGATTTTAAAAGGACACCATTTCAAGGCAACTGTTATTAAATAATTCACACTAGTCCCACAGTCTGGTCCTAACCTACAAAAGCTGTCAGTCTACAGTTCTAGTCTTTCTCAGTTACCAACTTGTGACAATATTGTACTTAAGAATGGGATATGATTGATTTAGGGAAATGACCTGAATCAATTCTATCAGTTATATTTTATATTTTTTTCCTGGAAACTCATTTGTACAAGTCTGACTTTCATTTTAAGATGCCAAGACTCTGGGATGATTAATTTACAAGCTGTGTTTTATGAAATAAAAGTTTGACCTAATAAAGTAAATACAAGAATCTAAGTATAATAGCAGCATCCTGCCTCATGGTTTACTTTGTATGCATAGGACTATCATACTCAGTACTAAAACCAGCCTGGTTATTATAGGATAAGAATTTCCATCTGTATTTTATAGAGGAAGGAACTGATATTCCCTGTTTGACTTTCAGACGATCACTTAAGTAATAAGTAACAGAACCCATAATGAAGTGAAATCCGGACGTTCTGTAGCTAGAACATCTCTGTATATGTCATCAATGCAGAATTATTTCTCTAATACCTTGTTCACATTTTTACTTGGTTTGTAGGTCTGCATTTTGTAATTTATGAAAGTAGAATATAAAGCAAGTACTGGCTTACCATCTGCAGAAGTAGTATATGGAACCGGCAACTATTACAAGAAACAAAATAATAAGAATCACAGTCAAAGCCACATATTCTTTGCTCAAGGGTTGATGCACAGTTAAAAAGAAGTGCTCACATCGGACACCAGTGTAACCCACTTCACATCTGAAGAAAAATACAAGAAAAAAATCAATTATTTCAGTATATCATGGTTATGAATTAGTTTCATAAGAATTAGTATTACAGTGTAATGTAAGAAATCTGCAAGATTTGCTAAAAATTATAAACATAAATTCAAAGATTGAATATAGAGTTGGGACAGCATTAATAAAATGACTCCACAGAGCTCTCAGGTTAAATTGTGGCATTAAAATGACAGTCTGTATTAGCTGCCAAGGGGACTGGTTACCTAGAAGTGGTGTTTTGTAAGCTTTGTAGGATTGAGATGCTTTTTGTCTAAATGGGTGGAATCAATTCTGAAAATAATGGCTGACATAGAAGTCCAATGAAAAGATTAAAAGTGGACTTCCTATCATGGCAAGTGGGAGGAATTGAAATGTCCACTGTACATCCCTGGAGTATGTGTACAATTTGAAAACTACTATTTGTTCTCTAATTTCAAGAAAGTTAATACAATTTCTAATACTCTATATCAATTATATTTTCACTGTCCGTAGAAATACAGGATAACTTCAAAATTTAAAACAAAAGGAGAGAAACATAATCTCAAACACTGTCTTTGTTTGCTTTTGGCATATTACCTGCAGTAATTTTCACTCATGTCCACCAGGTAGATGCACTGTCCATGCAAACAGTAGCCATTCATGTCAGTGCCACACTTTGTTATGGACACCTGAGCCACACGTGGATTATCTTCCATCTGAACTGTAAAGGAAATGGAAAGTTGAAAGCATTCTGTTGCCCTCTTGGACTCAGGGCATTAATCATTCTTTCATAACAGTAATCACTGAGCAACTTCACAAAACAGGTCAGATGCCAATCAGTCCAGGAGAATTTTCAGGAGGAGAAAACTACTCCACTTTAGGTATCACACTCCCTAAAACAATAAAGAAACCCCTGAGTCCAAAGGAATATATCCAATGGACTAAACAAAATGAAATAGCACTTGAAGATTTAATACTCAAAAAACAGACTTCATAGATAGAAAAGGTAGTGGATAAATGAATAAAAAATGTGGCATTTATACACAATGGAATATTATTTAGCAATAAAAAAAATAAGATCCTGGCATTTGCAGGGAAATGGATGGCATTAGAGAAGATTATGCTAAGTGAAGTTAGCCAATCCCAAAAAAACAAATGCCGAATGTGTTCTCTGACATAAGGGAGGTGACTCAAAATGGGGTTGGGAGGGAGAGCAAGGGAGGAAGATTACCTTTAGATAGGGAATAGGGGTGGGAGGGAAAGGGAGGAAGAAGGGGAATAGCATGGATGGTTAAGGGAGACCCTCATCATTATACAAGATACATGTATGAAGATGTGAATTTGGTGTCAACATACCTTATACACAATCAGAGATATGATAAATGATGGTATAATGGTGTATTAAGAATTGTAATGCAAAAATAAATAAATAAAATAAAAAAATAACAAAAAAGAAAAAATAGTTACATACACACACACACACACACACACACACACACATACACACACACAACACACCATTACCTTCCACAGTAGGTATAAATAAAACATCTCATTTTTTTCAAGTCTCAAAGTGATTCTGAAATTCATTACTCTCAAAAGCAATTCCAAGCTAAAACCTTTAATTAACTTAAGAAAGCTTAATTCTATCACAGGTTTTTAAGTCATAAGCTTTGTTTTGGTGTGTATTCCCTAATAGCTGAGGTTATCATCAAAGAAATCAAAGTCTCCTGACATTTCTCACATTGAGACCTGAAACAAACTAGACAAATTCTGAGTTAGAAATTCCTATTAGGCACATAGAAAAATAAAAATAGGAATCTAGGCCAGGGGCAGTGGTGTACGCCTATAATCCCAGCAGCTGGGGTGGCTGAGGCAGGAGGATCACAAATTCAAAGCCAGTCTCAGCAACAGGGAGGTGTAAGCAACCCGGTGAGACCCTGTCTCTAAATAAAATGCAAAATGGGGCTAGGGATATGGCTCAGTGGTTGAGTGCCCCTGAGTTCAATCCCTGGTACCTGCTCACCACCAAAAAAAGAAGAGGAAAGAAGGAGAAGGAGAAGGAGAAGAAGGAGAAAGAGAATCTTGTTGGAAAGAATGTTGCAACATTTATTTACAAATAAATTCCCATTAGAATGTTTTTGTTACTAAAATGTGAGAGATGTTTATGAAATTATCATTTTTAAAAATCTTGACTATAATACTTTTGTACATATAACCAAAAAAGGGAGGCAGGTGGTAGAGGAAGGCCCACCAAACTTCCAAAGAACATGATAGTGAAGGAATAAGAAAGAAGGCAATATTTTTGTGGAAAATATCTTGTTTTCTCAAACTAACCCTTGACTCAGGAGCGCTCAGACTGAATACAGAACTGACCTTCACTGGACCACAGAGACTGCTGTCTCTGATGGGAAAAGACTGGGCATTACTTAAGACTATTGCTTAGTAAAATGTTTGACACACATTGAGCAAGAAAGGACATCATTTGCTCCTCTTAACAAATAGACATGTGTATGCATGCACAATTTTTAAACAACTGTTTATAAAATGAACTTTCTTCTGTTTCCTGGGATCCAGTCTTTCAGTGTGTCTTTTAATGATGATTCTGTAGAAAAATGGTATTTTCCTTATTTCCTGAATTTTTAAGAACAAATCTTTATATATAAATAGATGATGTCTGATCCCTCTCCCACTCCTCCTTCATGTGTTTTTCCTGAACTCTAATTGATTAATGGATCAAAAATTAATACGACAATACTCTCCCCTTTTTGATTGTCACATATTTATATTTACAATTTTGTTGAAAACTGTGACATCTCTTGATGTATAATTTATGAAGCTGGGCTTACCCAAAGCTGTGCAGTTGTCATCTGATTCCCCCGGGATACATGATGGAATCACAGTCGTGCTGGGAACCGTTTGTAGAAGTTGGAAACCTATTAATGGAGGGAAATCAAATACACAGTTAATGTTTCAAGGCAAGAAACCTTGGTCAGATTTGGAAAGAAATGCAGCATTTACAGAGTAGTTTTGATTGTTTTAAAATTTTTATCAATCAAAAGCATAAAAAAGTAGTTCATGAGAATAAATGACCCTTCAGCTTTTCTCTCCCAGGGTCAAGCAGTGCATTCAGAGTTACAAATTTGACCTGCTGTAAACATTTCACAGTAACGTTTTCAAAGACCTGATTGTGAACTTTGAGTTTTCCTAAGTTGAACAGTTAGAGAATTTCCACTGTTTTACTCCACTGTGTGTTTACAATAATGCTGTGATGTAGACCCCACCACAAAAGACTTCAAATAAAAAAACAGGCTCTAGGGCTGGGGCTTGGGCTCAGTGGTAGAGCGCTCACCTAGTGTGTGTGAGGCCCTGGGTTCGATCCTCAGCACCACATTAAAATAAATAAGTAAAGTAAAGGTAATGTGTCAAACTACAACTAAAAAATAAATTAGAAAAAGAAAAAGTCTCCATTTATGGTAACAACAGAAAAAAATCTAGCATATATTTATTGTTTACCTAAGTATCTGTTACTTTTTACATTGTATTATACATGAAAATAGACTGTAATTAGTAAAATATAATCTAGGTAAAATCAGAAAATAGCTTCCCACCATATTCATAGGAAAGTGGTTCCAGAAAGTACCCAAATCTGTAGATGCTTAAATCCCATACATAAAATGGCATAGAATTTGTATATAACCTATGAACTTCTTCCTATATGCTTTAAATTATCTCTAGATTATCTATAACATCAACTACAATGTGGATGCTGTGTAAATGTCTGTTATACTGCATTGTTTAGGGAATGTACAGAAAAGGTCCATACGTGTTCAGCACAGATGCACTCTTTAAATACTTTTGAACTTGTGGATACAGATAAGCTATGTAGCTTATCTAATTCAGGAAAGAGCTGGAATGTAGAACCACACCAATTCCTAGCACCAAGTTTCTGCCAGCTCAGACAGGGTCTGAACCAGCTCTTTCATTATGTGCTTCCAGTGAAAAGGTAAACCTTGGAAAATAGGCATCAGAATGTCTCCAGTGAATTCTAAACTGCATAGAAATCATGATAAGAAGAAACCTTTTAATTTTACATGTTTATTTAAGAGCATTTAGCCTCCTCCGTTTAAGTTTCAGGTATTTGCACTTCAACTCCTCTTTCCTGTCTAGATGAGTAATTGTTAGATAATAAATAATAATGGTGGGGGTAGTAGTAATAGTTAACAACAGTTAAGATTTCATGAAAATGTGCTGTATGCCAGGCATGTTTCTATTCCCCTTATCCATATTATCTTATTTAATTCTCTCAGTGACTCTTTGAGGAAGACACTATGATTAGCTCCATCAGACATATAAGAAAACTGAGCAGGCTGGGGTTATGGCTCAGTGGTAGAGCACTTGCCTAGCATGTGTGAGGCACTGGGTTCAAACCTCAGCACCACATAAAAATAAATAAATAAAACAAAGGCATTTTGTCCATTTGTAACAACAACAACAAAAATTTTAAAGAAAACTGAGCATAAACAGGTTAAGGAAACACAATGCTAAATGAGCCAGGAGAATGTATAAATGGCAATGAAACCCAATGAACATCACACGTATCAAACTAGGGTACCTGTAATTGAAGCAGAGTATCTACCCCAAAGGGAGGTAGCAAAGTATGGTGGAAAAGCAATCATGTGAGCAAACTTGAGCGAAAGAACTTTTGATGCATTAATTAACTTCTCCAAGTCTCCATTTTCCCTACCTTACAGAGTTTTGGGAAAATTGAAATGAAATGATATTCTTCCAAAATGTCTTACATACCAGTGATTTCCCATAAATGTTCCTTGATACTCAACTTCTAGCCTGTAGTTTTAGCAGTATATGTGGGTGGTGCCCTCTACTGGTTTATAACAAGATTATAAAACTGTTAATTATTTTGGTCTTTTAAGGATGAATTAAACCATGTAAAACGGATATTTTATTTTACTTTTTCTTAATCAGAGGAGGCTTGTATTTATTAAGAAAGCTGCAAATTCTTTGGGTCCTACAAACCAAGTTACATATCAGCATCAGTATCATAGTTTATATTTTCATGTTTCAAACTTAACATAACAATCCTGGGAAGCTGTTATTAGCCTCAGACAGCTCAGTGCATATAAATGAAATGTCTTATGCAAGACCACTTATCTAGTGACCACAGAAGGTAAGAGTAAAGAATCTAACAGCAAGTTACATACTCTTTTGATAATTTGAAAATACTGTTTTCTTGACAGCTTTAAACTCCCTCTTTCCCACTCCATGCTTATCCTACAATATAACTGTTGCTTCAATTGTTCTCATACATTTAAAAAAAATCATCTTTCTTAAATAACAAAAATAGTGGCTAAATCTGAATTTCATTGTCAGTTAAACTGAGATTAAAAATTTTTTTTTAACAGAAGATGAATTAGATTCTCTTCTGTGTTAATTTTGTGATACTTCTCACTATAATTTTGACATAAATGTTACTGAAGAATTAAACCCTGTCTTAGCATCTTGGGTACAAACTGAACTTCTCTTTGCAAAGGTTCTTATAACTAATTCTCTCCTAGGAAGGTGCCAGCCAGGTAAAAGTACACATTTCAAGCCAGGTTTTCTATCCTTTACAGAAACCAAGAGTGGCTTTGCGTGCTTGGAATTGCTTACAATTGCAACTTGGCACTGCTAGAGAATGCAGCTAATTGTGTTGAGGTACTGGAGGTTTTGTTTGTTTGTTTGTTTAGGTTTTTGGTAGTTGTCAGTTTTTCCACTGTTGGAAACTTTGTTCTAGTTGTTTAGGCCACTGGTGAAATATGTGTCTTTGTCAATTAAAGATTGTTCAGGCCAGGGTGTGCCTCCGTGAAAACTGGGCTTCCTCTACCTGTGACGCTTCTTTGGACACAGTCCATTGTCAGGACAGTTTCTGTGAGACTTGCTGCATTAATCCAACAACAGGATATTTTAACAGAGGAAATTGTAAATAATTGTAAATTCTCCTCTCAAATTAAAAGTGTGTAAGTGTAGTTCTATCATAGATGTATGTCACCAATGAAATAACAAAGTTGTTTCTAAATCAATTGACCAAATGTACAGCTCTAGTGCTTTAAAACAGTGGTTCCCAAGTGTAAAAATCACTATTTGTTATTTCACAGTCATACAGGAAAGAACTAAGTGCTAAGTTATATCCATCCATTTCCTTAATATTCACTTTTTCTAGATTTTAGTGTTCATTGCACACAACAATCACTCTATGATTCAATTATAAATATTATATTTGAGCTTTTGATCCATTTCAATACTCCCTGACAAGAAAATAATTCACTATGATACTAAAGATTTTGGATAGTGTCAGTGTCAAAATCAAGATGTGAACAAATTTACACTGGCAACTAAGAGAGAAGTCTGCAAAGTGATTTTGGGAGATGATCTACAAACTTTCAGTGTCAGCTAGAATTTCTACTTCAATACAAATACAAAGTTCAAAATCCTTTTAGAGGGTATTATTTCTGTCAAATTTCCAAATGGGTTTTAGGAATATGAAGCTCACCTATTCATCTCTCCACCTTCACCTTTCGGAGATTGTGTTTCAGCGAAATCTCAAATGTGCCAACAGGAAGTGGAGTCACTGACTCAGAGGATACAAATTGTCTCTTCCCCATGAGTCAGGCCGAGCCTACACCCTTACACAATATTGGGGACCGTGCGTGGTGCGTGGGAGAGGCTGAGTACCATCACCGGAATGGGGATAGCACTAAATGTCGTGGGCCCTGGAGCACTAAGAAGTGGTTACCCAACAGTCCATCAGAATGCCGGAAGTAGAAAAATGTTTGTCATTGCACTTGGTTTCTTTTCACCTTGGTTCCTAAGGGTCACACTGAGGGGCTCATCTAGAAGGAGGACAATGCAGAGTATGCTGGGATTCAGTGAACAACCAACCAAGCCAAGTCAGCAACACTGTTTGCAAATCTCAGGGGGAAAATAATTCCTTTGGAAAGCAATCAAAACAAATAAAAATGATCCAAAAATATGATGCAACAGAATGAAAGGTATATGCCTTATTTTCCCAATCAAATCTTTTAGAATATTAAGAACAGAACAGCAAACTCATGATGAATCATAGTATTTGCTTGGCCCAAACAGGTAGCAAAATCCGCTTCGTTTACACTTTTGCTGTGGTCACATGCCAGCCTACTCATGGACTGTTAGTTTCCTACCTTCTTCCACAGCAGTTTATAATTTTAGAATTTGTCTAGAACATAGTAGACTTGTTAGGTCTTGTGCACTTTTAAAGAATGAACATGCCTTCACCATTTTGGGATGGCTTGCTATTTTAAATAGAATTTCACTATTAGACAAGACCTTGCTTTATCTTGGATAAAATAACTATAAACTTGGTCAAATAATATAGTGAACAGACCAGACAAATTTCAGTACTTTCTAGTAACAGCCTAATTTTCAGAGAAATATATATATATATTTATATGTGTGTATATATATATATATATGTGTGTGTATATATATAAATATATAAATGTATATAATATATATGTATGTGTATATATATGTATATATTTATATATACATATAAATGAGTAGAAATATATAAATGTATAGAAAATTAACCTTGTCTTCTGCCAGCAATTATTCTATTTCTTCATTACAAATCTTAAAACTAAGCTTTATTTTAAAAAAATGTAAAAACTATAACTATTTGAGCTAAAATAGCACAAAACCCAAGGCTGATAAAATAACAACTTACAAATAAGTATTTCTTTAATTTTGAGCTTTAAAAGATAGCTATAAGATCTTCCTCAACAAGTGACAAGGGAAGATTTAATATGCCATGTTTTTCAATTTATATGAAGAGCATTATATTCTACAATTTTGACAGTAATTTCTAAATCATATTTCTAAGTGCTCATATACTTAACAC